ACTTCTATGACGGGTGCGTAAATACAAGTACAACATGTATATATACATATTATACATGAATTGAACCTGAAGGTTAACGGAAATCTCTCGTATGTTAATGCAAAGTCTCAAGAAAAGGAAGAATGTTATTATACAATATAGTTAAATATAAATACATACATGTATTTATATACATATATGTATACCTATATATCTACACTCAAGGGATGATGACCTTCGAAAGGCTCATGTTGCACATCAATGAGAAGATGATGATGATGATGATAGAAGAATATTCATCTTTTGAAATAGGAATACAAGAGAAGTGTCGTGAAAAAAAGAGATAATGATATATAAACGAATGCTAACTATCAAGGTGAAGTATTGTCTTATAAGATCATCATTTTATTTTCCATCGGCATGAAAAAGAGGTCAATGATAACAAACTTATTCTCAATAAAAGAGATTAAATTAATGTATATACAAAAGGGGTTAAAAAAAAAAGAGCAAACGAAGGAAAGACAAATGAAAACGATCGTTTCTTTGGATAAAATTAACTTTCTTTTAAATATTAAATTTTTTTTCTTTTTTTCTCTTACCTGATTAATAAATAACATAAACGATAATAATAAAAAAAAAACCAAACTTTCTTTTTTTTTTTTTGTTATATTATTCTTTGAATGAACAGTAGAATGATACTATTGATATGGTATATAAGTATACACCCGCCTACCAACAAGAACGAGAGAAGAGAAGAAAAAAAAATTAGAGATGATGTTAGTGTAGTATCGATATTTTTTGAGTGCATATGCAAACATCAAGATTAGTCGATAAAACACGTTCAGTTTCTTTTACCTCTTGTCCTTCACATCAAATTCAAATTGCACGTCCTTTTTTTCTCTTCTCTTCTCTTAAAATGACAGAAACACGAAAAAAAAGTTGAGTCCATTGAAAATTATATTTTGTCTGCTAATGAATCAAAAATCAATATAGGTGTGATCGTATGAATAAGATTAAACACTTTTGTTTTATTTTTTTTAACGCTACAAACTACAAAGAGTTGAATAAAAATTCCCAGGCGACAAAACTAAATCAAATTGTCATTGTCACTAAAATTAAAGAATGGAACAATTCAACAGTGAAAATTACAGATTGTCTTCGATCTTGGCTAATCATATATGTGAAAGTCAAATCGAGTGTAAATAGTACAGAGAAAAATTGTTCCATTGCATCACAATATATAAGATTGATCTCGATCTATATCACTTGATTGGATTTTCTTTCATATACAATAAATAGTTTATCCAACGAAAAGCAAAGGGAAAGACGATATTGATAACAGATGTTCATGTGCGTGTGCGTTCATTTATTTGTGTTCATCAAGCAAATGTATTTAGCCTCTGTTCGCCTTCGACATGGCACACTTATTAGATTGACGATTATATTCGATAAGAATCCTTGATATTCAAGGACAAATATGATTAGATATACTTTTTTAAAAATTTTTGATACATTGTCATATCTGTTCTAAAAGAGAAACGTATATTTACCGCTATTTGAAATATTTAACAATGTATTGTGTACATAAATTGAAGGTAGATAAGAACAAAAATGCTTTAGGATATTTATCAGACTGTCTACAACATGTCTCTATCAATTGACGCGCCGCTATTCTTCATTGTTTAAACATTTTCTAATCGATCACAGTTCAAAATTTTTGTGCTCGATTAATCGTGACACACATTGTGTCGATTTGTAGCTGTAATTCAAGTCACTTGAAAAATATTTGATCACTATTTACAGACACATTTATATATATATATATATCAATAATCGCGTTCTTTTTATTCTTTCTGATCAATATTTTATGATGACAAATCAAGTACGACTTAATAGCAATATTGATAACATGATAAAGATTTTAATGATTCTTTAGTAGACGTTTTGTTTTATTATTTTAAATGAATAGACGAAAAATAAAAAAAAAAGAAAATGCCGGTGTGTTCTAGTTAAGTTCATTAGAGTTTAAATGCGCCATTGAAGTATATTTGGATCGTTTGCTAGTGAACGAATATTATCGACTTGTGCAAGTTCCACTGCTTGATTTAGATATTCTTCTGGTTTTAATTTAATTACTGGTAAACGAACAATTTCAAGTTCAACTGTTGTATGTGGTTTTGTATATTCAATAAAACGATTATGTTGTCGTTCAGTCTCACTTCGAAGAAACTCATCACGATTGATCGAGCGATAGGTTACACGTTTTGGTGCGGGTTTATTTGGAAGCCATTGTTCAATAACAATAGGTCCTTTTAATATGAAAATAAAAAAAAGAGAATTATTAGTAAAGAATACAGATCATAGGAGCTTACGAGGTTTCGGTGGCATTTCAGGATAACGATGAATAATGATCTAGTAGACGAAAACAAAAACTTAATTTTTTTATGATTAATTTATTTTATACTTGTTGAGGTGGTGGTTTATAATCAACTGGAACATATTTATTATAGACAATCGGTTCGCTTGAAGAAGGTTCTGGTTGTGGTGGAGCACTTTTGATGAGAATAGGTGATGGAGTACGTTGTGCATCTCTATCTGGACTAGGTCCAACATATACATGAATTGGTGGACGTTGTGGTATAGGTTTCACAACTACTTCTTGAATTTGAATCTCAATAGGTTCAGGTGTCGGTGGTTGATATTGACGTAAATAAACTTGTTGTTTATAGACTTGTTGATCAGCTTCGTGTGTTTCAACAATCGGATCTGAATCAAGATTAAGTTCATCAGCATCAATGTCAGTCAATTCTGATGAAGCTCTACCCTAGGAAATAGTTAAGAAATAATAAATTCAATTAAAATCTTCGAATAAATAAATAAATATTTGATCTCAGAAAAAGCTTACTAAATTTTGACGCGCAAAATCATCTACACTAGTTTTAATAACAATTGAATCTCGATCGATTCCTTGTGTCAATGGAACGTTATCATCATCGTCCATGGTTGTACGTAAATCATTATTGCGTTTGTCAATAAAGTTTTCGACATAATTTATAATTGAAGTTTTTGCTGGATCTTTTGCTTCTTCACTCGATGACATGTTTCAATTAACTATTAGTGTAATTTATTGTATTCTCGTCGACAACGTGTATATGTATAGCGATTAATCTGAGTGTAGTCCGCTGTTTTTCAGGTAAGCAACAACATATCAAAAAGCCACATCGTGTGCATTCATGTGGAAAACAGTCTATTTCATTTTTGTTTATAAAAAGAAATGGTGACTTTTTTTCTTATCGAATACCTATGTTAAAAAAATATCTCAATTAGTTTCATTGCAAAGTTATCACTTATAATTTATCAAGTTTATTCAAACAAAAATAAAAAAATTCATTTAATGATTATTGAGTTGATCTTTTTCAAGTACTTTTACTTGACAAATTAGTTCAATGACTATTAAATTTGAGTAAAACTTCTTTATATTATAAGGTTAATTTACATAATTAAAAGGCAATTAATTATAAACTTTGTTCAATATAGGCTATAAACAGTATGAGTTTGTTTAACATTGTTGAATTTTTCAAAAGTGAAATTTGCACGACAAAAAAAGGATTAAATATTAAAATTGAAGCTGAAATGACTAAGACTGCATACATTACATTCATTTATTAGTTGATCAAGCATTGGAAGAAAAATAAAAATGATTCATAATGAAGTTATACAAATGTACATTATAGCTAATGCATATAAATGACATGAAGTGTTAATATTTCTTCGTTTTATTACTCGGACTACTAATGAAGAATGCAAGATTGATTTCATTCATGCTTTACTAATGGCTGTTTACTATAAAATTAATTGCTAGTTCTCCTTGGTTTCATTCACAGCCATTCGCATTTTTACTCAAAACAATTTTAACATTCAATTATTATTTGCATCGAAGTTTTGCATAAGATTTTTTTAAATGTTATTTAACCTAACGAAATTCATATTCCTTGTGATTAGGTTAAGTAGTTTCAATATAAGATACTGTTTCATCTGTCCATTTGTCATGATCAACATTCTGCAACCAACATAAAAAAGATTTTAACAACCATTTTCTGCGATTGATTATATCTGCATCATTAAGGATTTGCTTATTCATTATATTTTATGTCATCACAAATAGAGTTGATCTAAGATTTTTTGAAGATACCAATTCGGTAATATAATATCGAATTTTTTTCTTCTTTTCCGTTTCAACAACAATCTACTCGAAACTGGTTCATCGAACGTAATTTCATTTTTTCTTGTTGCTTGAATCAACGCATGTCAATATGTGACTTGTATTTTGATGTTTTCTTTTAATTAATTTCAAATTCTACTTAAAATTTATTTTCGTAATTCTGAACCGACAATAGAAACAAATAAAGGATGTCGCTAATTTTGTTGTAAAACACAATCATAAATTCAATTGATTGGCCAGATCGTTGCTATAGGAAGAATGAAACGTAAAAAAGAACAATTGGAAAGAGTATCATATTCTAGCCCGAAGTTCTATGATATAATGTGAAAAAAAAACAGATTTGACCTTGATGTGAATTATTTATTGTTGTTCGTTTACTATCAATCAAGTTTCTTTCTACTTTAAAAAGAAACAAGGTTTTAGGTAGAAAGTAGATTGTCATTGAAACTGTCAATTGTATCAAAATGATTATGTTTTTGAAGAAAGAAAATATTGACAATAAAACAAATATGAGAATGTGATGAAAGAAAAAAAAAGAAAAGGAGAGAAAAATTCCTGGCGAATACATCAGTTTCTTTTTGTTTTCTGTTAACAAAAAAACAGTAATTTTCTTTGTTTAATAAAAGTCATCTTTTAACAAAAGCGAGCATTGCTGATTGAGTCTTTTTAAAGCTGTATGTTTATATTCATGAACGAGAACTTTCTTTTTTATTTCTTTTTTCAGTGCTCCATTTGATGATGCTGTTGACAATATATTAAAAAGACACTCGACTTTTACGTAGATCAATACACTGAAATCATGGAACTAGGCGAATATAATTATTCGCTGATATCGGTATGATATTTAAGGTTTTTTAATAGTAATTCTTAATTTATCTTGTGGTTTTGAAGAGTCCTTATGATAGTTTTATGCGAAAACATCTTCAACATTATGGTTATTTTTCTGGTTAGATTAATGTGAATGTTGAACAATTTTTAAATATTATTCTTTTATATTATATAAAGGTCGAGGAGAAGTGATAAAAAAATATGGTTTTTTTCCGTCAAAATCTCAACTTATTTCATCATCAAGTGATTCGGAATCAAGTAGTAGTGACGAAGAACAAGAAAGTATGTTATTTATTTAAATTTATTTTAAATTATCATTCGAAACGTTTGTTTAATAAGAAAGATAGAAAAAACAGTTCAATTTGTTTTCTTTTTACAGTAAATTATAATTCACACTATGTACTTGAAAATTCTTCTGGTGGGTTCTTATAACACTTTTGTTAAGAATAAATTTAGATATTTTCTATATATTGCATGATGTTTATCTTTTATCAGTGTATAGTCGTACAGGATATCGTTTATCTATTGATCAACTTCATATAAGTTTCCCAACTGGTAAACTAGTAGCTTGTTAATAGTTGCATGATATAATTAGAAAGAATTTTTGTTATATGTAGAAGATTAATATTTATCTATAAAATATAATTTAGAATATAAAAGTAGATCCAGTGTTCCGGATACAAAAGTAGTAAGTTTTAAATTAAATGTTTATTTAATATATTGTTTGTTTTGATGTGATCAGCCTATTCGGCAAGCTCGTATACCATATGGTTTAAATTGTCGAAGTGGTCCAAATGATGATTATTCCTTTGAACCTCGATGGCCTATGGAAGTTGAAGTATTAAATGAACCACGCATTAAACATATTAGTGTTTCGCCAACACAAGCTGAATCTTTCTATAAACCAAGTTTGTTACTTGTTTGAGTTCGTCAAATATATTTAATAATTTTTATAAATTTTAGCAACTAATCATGGACCATTTATACGTAGTTGTGATGAAAATAATGGTCGTGTTGTTTTCAATTATAATCCAGAATCATGTGGTTATGTAAGTTATGTATTTAATATGATTTTGAAATTATTTTATAAAAATAGTTTATTCGATCTCGAATTGGTGGTAATAGAGAAGGTTGTCGACAAGCAGCTATTGCACTTCGAAATGATGAAGATACAACTGTTTTATTTGAATCACGCTTTGAAAGTGGAAATTTAATGAAAGCTGTTCAAGTGTAAAAATAGAAGTTTCTTTCAAAGAATTAATGTAGTTTTCAATTTTGTTTTCTTTTGATAGAGGTGAATTTGAATATGAACTTTATCTTCGATATGATCTTTACACGAAACGTAACACACAATGGTTTTATTTTCGTATGCAAAATATTCGAGCTGATAGACGATATCGGTTTACGATTGTTAACTTTTTTAAAGTATAATTATTTGTATTCCTTTTTAATGTCTGTATTGAGGAAATATTGTTTCTAGCCTACAAGCTTGTATAGTTATGGAATGAGACCTTTGCTGTACAGTGTTTTTGATGCAGAAACTAAGGGTATTGGTTGGCAACGATGGGGTGAAGAAATTGTCTACTATAAAAATAATCTGCCGTAATGAATAATTTGTTGTATTTTAATACGTTCATCATTTATTATTTAGTGCGCCTGACAATTCCTCATGTAATATGTATTCTCTTACTTGGACATGTAAATTCACAAATAATAATGATACCTATTACTTTGCTCATTGTTATCCATATACATATTCTGATTTACAAGTAAAATATTATTTTTACATTTTTTTGCTTTAAATCTAATCTATTTCATAGGATTATCTTAATGAAATTCAAAGTGACCGTTTTAAAAGTCAATATTGTAAACAAAAAGTTCTTTGTCGAACATTAGCTGGAAATTTTATTTATTTACTTACAATAACAAATCCAGCAACTGTACATGGAAATAATACAAGTACATCGCCTGAAAATCAAGTAAAAAAAGGTGTTGTTGTAAGTGCACGTGTTCATCCAGGTGAAACAAATGCATCGTGGATGATGAAAGGTTTATTAGATTTTTTACTTGGTGATTCCGCTGATGCAAAAGTATGAAAAATTTCTGCAAAAAAAATTTATTATCCATTTGTTTTCTCTCTTAGTTACTTCGAGATAATTTTATTTTTAAAATAGTTCCAATGCTTAATCCCGATGGTGTTATTGTTGGAAATTATCGTTGTTCATTATCAGGTCGAGATTTAAATCGAAATTATAAAACAATACTTAAAGATGCTTATCCATCTATATGGCATACAAGAGAAATGATAAAAAGGTTAAAAGAAAAATTTTTCATTCATTCATTCATTCATAATTTTGATTTAATTTAATTTGAAAATTTTAGATTTATGAATGAAACAGAACTTGTGCTTTATTGTGATTTTCATGGTCATTCGAGAAAACAAAATGTTTTTGTTTATGGTTGTGAAAATAAACATTTACCTGATGAAAGATTTAAAGAAAGAATATTTCCAGCAATGTTATCCAAAAATGATCCTGCAAAAGTTTGTATTTTATTTTTCTTATAAGATTTTATAGTCGACATATATGTGTGTTTTTTATTTAGTTTTCATTTTATTCATGTAAATTTAAAGTTCAAAAGCATAAGGAAGGTACAGGACGAGTTGTCATGTGGGCTATGGGTATTTTGAATAGTTATACATTAGAGGTTTGATTAGTTCTTTTTATAGTTTTATATAACTACGTAAAATTATTAGGCAACATTTTGTGGATCAACTCAACAGGATCGAGCTGGTCATCATTTTACAATAAAAGATTTTGAATCAATTGGTTATCATTTTCTTGATTCTTTACTTGATTATTGTGACCCAGATCATACAAAAGTAAGTTTAATATTATTAGTTCTATGACATAAATTTTTTTTTATTTTTAAATAAAATTTCTACATTAATTTTTTCGAATTAACTTATAATAAATAGGAACCATATCGTCAAAATTTATATGATGAATTGTTAAATGGTAATCTAATAACAGATGAAGATTTAAAAGATTTTGATACATCATATGATGATTCAAAGCATAAAAATAAAACACGAATTGATATAAAACAAGAACTAACAATATCTACTGATTATAAACATTCAAAAGTTCGAACAGCAAATAAATTAAATATTTCTTGTAATATTAACAGTGCTCCGAATATGCACCGTTCAAAATCACAATTAGTTTTAACAACAAAACAAAAAGAAATAAATATGAATTCTTCTTGCCCTGTACCACCAGTAATTCTGCTATATATATATATATATTTATTTATTTATATATGTATATTCTCTTGCTTTTTCCCTGTTCTTCTCGTACTCCTTTTTTATGATATTGTTTCGTCAGTCATCGTCTATTATAATAGATCATAGAAAAAAAATTGATCTGTTTTTATTTTTTAATTTAGCGAAATCGAATATTAGCTGAAATTGAAGATAATTTACGACGTTCTATACAAATGAAACTTATATCACGTGGTGTTAATCCAGCATCATTAGCAGATATTGATCTTGATCAATTTTCATCTGATGATGATTCAAGGTAACAAGGAAAAGTTCTAATAGAAATTTTATACATTTCTTCAAACATTTTAGTGATGATGTAGGATCAGATTCATCAATGGATGATGGTCTGCCAAAGCATTTAGAAGCAATTGCAGCAGCTAAAGTAGTTTTATTAATCTAATCATGTTTATATAGTAAATATCTCTTATATTCGTTTTTTTTTCATAAGGCTCAATTGAAAAAAACAAGAAAAAAAACGGTACCAACAAAACCAACTAGAGACACTAAAAGAAAAGATGAAATAGATAAAGAAAATCTTGAAAAAGTAAAATCAAATATTGTGCTTATCAGCCTTATTTGATGTTGTTCTTGTGATTAGAACAAAACTGTTGGCTTATCCTTATCAAAAATTCGTCATTCTCAATTTCCAACTATTGTAAGTTCTTGTATTCTTTTGTAAACTTACTATTTTTTATAATCAGTATTTTCTGTTATTTTTCTTTCACATCATCTTTAAAAAAACTAACTTTATCTTAGCAAAAGTTATGTTGTGCGTCCTTTTTGTTTTTTTTTTCATTTTTTCAAGGACTTGTTAGAAACTTCGGTTCTAACAACGAATAATTGGAATTTATCAGAGGTAAGTTTAGCACAGTAGCCTTCTTTATGTTTTTATTGACAAAGAAATTTTTAACTAAATAAAAAAACTACTAGAGAAGAGAAAATAATTTATCTAACTAAAGAAAAAACAAAATTAATAAATATTTTAGACTGAACTTGAAAGTATGCAACAAGGAAGAAAACGTCGTAGTCATGTGACTTATCATGTTTGCAAATGTTTATCCTGTTTAAAGGCACAAATGTCCCCTATTGAAATGCCGCTGGTACTTTCTTCTTGCATGCCATAGCTACTCAGAGATATGAATATTAGATCTTCGTTTTGCCCTTTTTCTTCTTCTTTTTTGGTTTTTCTTACCTTAAACACATGCATAATATATATTTTATTCGTGGTATGCATAGACATATTCTGCTATTGTTGCTTAGGATTATCTCTTTCTGTATTCACATCAGAGATGTTGATAGATTAATCCGTTTTCGTTGAGTTCGTCCCTACGTAGATTGGATCGTTGATCGCGTTCATGGACTAGATTTTTCTATGGATACGGTTATATTTTAATCTGTACTCGCGAAGTCGACCCATTTATGAATTTTGCTTCACACACGTGATTCTTTCGTTCTGCATACAATTACGTTCACTATTTACGCAATTTCTTCGTTCGACCACGGGCTTAGTTGCTTTTACCATTTCTTTCGTTCTTCATCACCTAGATTCTTCCTATCATTTGTTCTTACTACATCTTCGTTCTAATTATTCATCTACTTATTTTGAAGCATGCACACATATAAATATGCTCTGGTTGTGAGTGTAGGTCTTCTCGTAGATGACACCACATACTGATACAAAACTAGGCTTGTTGAATGATTACTTCTGCTACTTCTCGTGTTAGTTTCACAAATAATTGAAAAACGAATGTGTGAATAAAGAGAATTAACAAATTTATTCTGATTCGTGAGTCGAAGAAAAATATCATTTCACATGGAAGGTCAGCCGAGTTCAGTCTCGAATGAATCGGGTCAAAAAAACCATCAGTATCAACATCTCTGATTCATACTCATTTAATTTAATAATATGCTGCTCTTTTTTTTTCTTCTTCTTTTTTGCTTTTTAATTATTTGTTTTGTTTTAATTGTTTAATTAATATTTCATTACTTTTTCTTAAAATAATACTTAGAGTAATGATATGACTAAACCAATATCATTAACATCAGCACGTCGATTAAAAGATACCAATAATGATCCAGGTCGATATGAAAGTTCAAATAGTTTAAGTAATCGTTCGAATCGATGGTCAACATCAACAACACAAATGACAAATGGTCGTATAACAACAGCTGAAGAAAAGGCACGACGATCTCAGGTATTTATTGACTTAAAAATTTTTTATTTTGATTTTCTTCATCATATTTAAACACAGATGTTCAGTACTGATTACGAAGCCGGTGGGTTATACATAATATTCTGAGTTTCTTTTTTTTTCTTCTCTTCTAACTCAATCTCTGTGTGTGACTTTTTTGCTACTTCTTCTTCTTCTTCTTCTTCTAGGCTGAATATTACAAACTTTTAACTCGTGATGTGCCATCTGATGATCGTGAAAAACAACAAATACAGCAGCAATTACAAACTTTAGATGATGATATCCTAATAACATCTACTTTTTTTCCAAGACAGCCATCATCATCAGAGAATTTACCTGAAGAAGGTATTTCGAATTATATTCTATAATATTATATTTATAATAGTTTATAAGAAAAAAAAACATCGATGAAAATAAAAATTAAGAATGAGGCCGTTAGATTCCAGAAGAGAATACATATAAATAACAATGTATGTGGCGCCTCTTTATTTTGACATGAAGATTATTTATTTCAACGTTATGACGATTTAAGTTTATCAATAATGAAATAAAGACAAAAGAAAAGAATGACTTTCACAAAGTTTTTTTTTTCTTATCAATCATATTTGAATAATCATCATTTTCAGACCTTCCAGTTGGTTATTCTTCTGGTCCATCATGCCAAACAACAGAGGTTAATGAACCTACATTGACGAGTGAATCTCGCGATGTTTTTACAGCTACTTATTTACTCCGAAGACTTAATTGTAAGTATTTAATGATTAGAATTAGAATTTTTTAAATTTTCATATATTTCAGCATTATTTCCAAAACAACATACAGGGGGTGTGCATAGATATTTTCGTAATTTGTTTATAAACTGATATCTACTACTACTGTTTCTATTTTTATAACTGTTTGCTTTTAATTTATAAAAATTAAATTCGTTTTGTAGGATAAGATATAATCTGAGAGTGTTTTAAATTTGTCAACAAAAACACGATAAGAATGAAAATTTTATTTTTACTAATCTTATTTTCTTTTTTGTGTTAAGGTCTTGAACGTGAATCAGGAGCAAATACAAATGTTTTATCAACAACTTATCCAATATTAGCGTCATCTTCACGTGTTGAGGATGTATGAATTTTAATTTTATACATTTTAGAAGAAAACAATCAATTATATTCTTATTAAAATAGGATACAGCTGGTCAATTAACAACTGATAATGATACTGATATTGATATGAGTCGAACAAACATACTGAATTCAAATGAAGATGGACGACAATCAACAAATGCATTCGTTACGAATCGAGTTTCTGCTCATTGTAAGTTGTAATAAGATGAAAAACCAACAAAATATTTATTTTTTATTCGCAAGTAAATGAACGATTACTTGGCACACCTCGACCATCAACTCGACCAAAAACAACAACAACAAATGTTCTACAAAATCGAACGGTTCTTGATATACGATCTATTCAACCACCTATGCAAACATCAGTAAGGAAAAAAAAACAAAAAAAAAACACTAAAACAAAATGTATGTTTTGAATCAATAGAATCTAAAACGTATTGCCGAACAACAACAACATCAAAGACAACGAGTAATGATGGTATTTGGTAAGCAAAATCCTAGTGAAATTACTGAGAAAACAACTTCAATATCATCACGTACATTTCATTTATCAATAAACGAACGAAGACCAGATGATTCATCTCTATATTATGATAGTTCATCATCAGTAGTGTCAAGACTTTATCCAATTCAACAAGATAATATATCAATGAATATAACTTCTCGTTTTGATTCAACATCAATAAATAGATCACAGATGATCGTATGAAATAATTAAATATAAAAAATATAAATATATTTTTCATTTTCTAGAGAGCATCAAGTGTGAAAAAATCTTCTAAGTAAAATGTCTAAATCGTTTTCTTTTTCTTTGGCTTCCGTTTCACATGGACAATCATTATTATTACAAATACAAACTAGTCGATTATATTCTATCTGATCCGTCCTTCAATTGATCATTGCATGTGTTGCTTTTTTTCTTTGCATTCCATTATCTGCATTACTTTTTTTAAAAATTATTTTATCTATTCTATTTTTCTTGTACGTCTAAACAAGAAAAAAATTCTTCTAATGCGTATTGAATGTTCTTGTTTTCCTTATTGATTTCTTAAACTAAATGAACAATAAATCAAGTTTGTACGTTTCTATTTTAGAATAGAATTATAAAATTTTCTATAATGAGCTCATCAACACCAAAACCTGTTACACTTGAAGGCAGTTGTCATTGTCAACGTGTAAAATTTTCAGTCGATTCATGTATGTGTATTTATTAGTATAAATGATTTAATCGTTTGTTTACTTTTAGATACTCCTTATCCGTATATGATTTGTCATTGTCTTGCAGATACGAAAACAACTGGTGTATTTAATTGTAACATTATGGGTGAACATTCAACATTTAAATTAAAACAAGGGCAAGAATTTGTTAAAATTTATCAAGTTAAATTATCTGAAACTGAAAGTGGTAAAAATGAATCATCAAGTACAAAATTAAGTCCTCATAAACGACATTTTTGTTCGGAATGTGGTTCATATCTTTGGGCTTATCATGATGCATATCCACAATGGATTTATCCATTTGCATCATGTATTGATACACCATTACCAAAACCTGATGAATATTATCATATAATGACAGATTTTAAACTTAATCATGTAGAAATTCCAACTGGCAAAAATATTCATACATATCCTCGTTATCCAGAAGGAAGTATTGAAGAATGGCACAAAAAACATGGCCTTTATGGAACATATACAATAGACAAATAAGATAGGACAAAGTTAGAGATTTTTTTTTTAATGATTATTTTAATCATGAGTACAAAAACCACCTGGTCCTCCAGTTTTGTAATCATAATCATGCAGATCATATTTGTTTGAAACATGACTTTGAAGAAAAGATTGTGGATTTTCAATAATCTTTAATTGTTGAATATCTCGATTGAATATTGCATAAACAAACGATGTTATTAATGTTGCTTCATCAGTTTTGTATTGGAGAAAATCACAGATAGTACCCTTGCACGGTTCACACATAAGTTTACTAGCCTCGTGAAATGGTTCATCTAGATTATCGGCATGGCCATAATTTGTTAAATTGACAAGAAATGTCGGTCCATATAATGAACGATACCATCGATCATTGCTGATATTATTTGGTGCACAGGGTGGACCCTCCTTAAAAGCAGGGACATTATCTAAGATCAGATGAAATCTACAAAGTGTACGAAAATTAAGTGTCAGTTTTTACCTAGACCATTACTAATTATCAGAGCTGGTGTTCGAAATGGAAGAGGAGTTGGAGGATCTTAATATAAAATAAGACAAAATAAAATGATATTATTTGTTTTTCTTTTTTTATACGTGTAACAAAGTCTTGTACAAAACCGAATGGATCAATGCCATCAACAGGATTCATCATAATAATTAATTTTACTGGACCACATGTTGTATTGAGATATTGACCCAGTGGATGAGCTGCTGATGAGTGTGATAGGAAACCAAGAAGTTCCGTATTTGGTATAACACCTTTGACTTTTTTATGTTCAGCAAAAAGACGACTAGCACCATCATCTGGTTTCACAACCCATTCAAAAAATTCAGCTATATGAACAGCGACTTTTTCTGGTTTGATATTTTCGATCTTTGAAATTCCAATAAGAATAACATTTTGCTCAGCAATTGTTGATACTAATTTGTGATAAAATGGTGCAGGTACTATACCTGCTAGACCAGTTAAAAAAACAAGAACTGGATAAGAACCAGGTGTTGTTGGAGAATAAATATCAAGCCGAAATTGTGTTGTTGGATCAGTAATAATAAGATTACCGACTGACCAATGATCAATTTTACCAGTGGATGAGAATGGTATAGCTATCAATAGGGTAATCAGTGCTAGAAACATGTTGTTTTGTAATATTTGTACACTTGTAAAACCCTCTTATATCAATACAAATATTATTGTTGGGAATAGGCACATCTGTACTAGTTTTTGTTATCTTTTCTTTTTTTTCCAGATGTTTACGGTCTTAGATAATACACGAGACTCTGTGGCAACAAGACAAAGTTTACTTGAATCTCTATTACGTGAATGTCAACAAACAAATCAGCAATCACTTAATCAATTAATTGATTATTATTTTCAAACAGAATCACCAAATGCTCTTCTATTAATTAAACAATTTAATGATACAGGAAAAGAACAATCTAAAGTTAATAAATTAAAACTATCATAAATAGTAAAATAAAATTTTCTTTTTTTTAAGATTCTGATCGAACATCTAAATACGCAAGGCTTAAAACAATGTAATCGTCATTCCAGTAGTGGTGTTAGTAGTGAACTACACTCACATGAAGAGCAAGAAAAAGTTGCTCATATTATGAAAGTCTTTCGTATTTTATGTTTAATTATACATAGTCAAGTATCTTGTTTACCAACACTTATTAAAGATAGTCAAGTACTTCCAAATTGTCTTAATACAATTACAAAGGTATGAAAGAAATATAATCGAGCCTAAAGAGTAATTCAGAAATTTTGACGTCTCTTAATAAATCGATAATATTTATGATTAACCTATGTATACGTCATTTATCGAAACTTTATAGAGGTAGATCAGAGTTATCATCTGAAAAAAAAAAGATACTTTAAGATACATAAATGTAGTACAATGCGATGGTTATTTTATTAATCTTGAGTAAAACTGCTAACAACATTCGAGGATCGATTTCAAACAGTAAATTTCATAAAATAAAATTACCAATATGGAAAAACAGAGATAAATATGGTACCAGTGTGTCTTTTTCATGTTTCTTTTTTGATTATAGTATCTCATAGAGAATGCCTAATGAATCTTTGTTGAAATTTGACTGTGTCAAACATTACTATCTGAAGATGAATAGTATAACGATTCACTAATCAAGTGTCTGTATGGATTTCAGACTTGTTCTATCATTGTGGAAAACTTTAATATTACGAATTACTTTATAAAATATCAATATAACGAATAATATTTGACTAAAATGATGCGTCCTATAAAACTTTTCTGCTAGCAAAAACATACCACTCTTCTTTAAAAAAATTATTTGTGCTAAAAAAGAATTTGAGATGAAAATATTTACTCAAAATTAATACAATTATCGTAGTAATGTACAACATTTATGCATTTCGAACTATATTTTTTTTCGATGATAGCTCTAATGTTTCTCTATTTTTCTAATGTTCCTAAGGAGAATCACGGTATTCATTGAAAAAAATATCTTAAAAATGAAGTATCTTTGCAGCAATAAACTCTAAACAGGTACGCTTCTCAAGGTATTCGTTGTTCATTTAGGCCTGCATAATCTTAACTCGAAAGTAACTTATAAGTTGGAGCACTTCCCTTATGAACAGGATCAAAACTTTGGATTCACTCTGTATATGAAAAAATTGTTTATTATTTAGTGTAAAGATGATCCGAATGTCTTAGCACAAGCATGTTATTTTTTTGCTGCCTTAACTGCAATACTACCTGGTGAAATTGTTCAACAAACAGAATCAATTCTGAATATATTTAAAGCAACATGCAAATATCTTTTTAAACATTTAACATCACTTCGACAACTTTCAATTCAAACAAATTCTCGTAACCAATTATTGAAATAAAAGTTTTCATTTATTTTATTATTGTTGTTGTTCTTCTTTTAAATTAGATTCTCTTGAAAATGTTCAATTATGGATTGTAAATCAGTCGGCACATGCATTGTTTTACACACTTTATACAGTATATCCATGCAATTTTTTATATTATATTCAACGTGAATTTCAACGAAATGATAGCCTTGATGTATTTGAACATATATTTATGCCGATGTTTCAACGTGTTCGTTTTAATCCACGTCTTATTGATAGTGATCGTAAACGTGAATTAGAAAAAATTAAACGTTCGAGACAATATTCATGTAATATTATTTATGAAGCACGAAAACTTTCACTTGATCCATTATTTGGAAGAGAATCACCAGGAGCTGATAATTGGATGCATCAAGAAATGAAAAGAATTTTACCTTTCTATAATTTTAAACGTACGAATATTGAAAAACATAATACTTCTACATTATACATATATATATATTGGATACTTTTTTTTCACAGGACAATCTCCAGCTAGATCAGTCGATCAATTATCTGATGGACTTCGAAATACAATAGACATGTCTAGTCCACGTAGGAAAGAGTTATTTTTTTGATTATTGTAAACGATTTTCAATCTTTTAATTTAGCGGAAAATATTTCAAAACGGTCTAATAGTTCACCACTTCAAAAATTCAAAGTTTGCTCATATTTTAATCTTAGATTTTTCCATATATAATAATTTTATTAAGGAAAAGATCAAATCTTATCTTCGTCCAACACCATCACCAATTCCAACAATAACAGTTTCAACAACGGATACTACTACAACAACTACGAAAACTAATAATACACTATCTATTCCGAATGTTTCTTCTTCTGTTTTATCATCACCATCATCCCCAGCACTTGGATCAGACATGCGGGTTGTTAAAACAATGCCAGAATTACAAAGTAACAATGATCTGTCAGCATTATCTTCATCAACTCCAACTACTCAACGTACTGATCAACAACAACAAATATTTGTCAACTCAGTTATTAATATAATTTCAACGATTTATGATCAAAGTAAGTTTCATTACAAAAAATGCTTGTTATCACAGCCCCTTAAAAATTAAAATATGGAACTTACATGTGTTCTTGCCCTCATTATACTAATGTAAAAAAAACTCCATGAAAAATCTCTTGTTTACCTACAGTTGTTTTCCAAGGATAATTTTTCATTAAAGAAATAATCTGCCTTATTTATTTCTGCATTTTGAACAGAAATTCTTTTTACTGGCACTCTATTTTGTGAAACTCACAAATATTTTTAAAGAAAATAGTAGTGTAACTTTAAATCGAGATTTTTGGGCTCTGCATATACGTCCTAGCAAGTAGAAAAGGGCGTCAGTAAGTGTACTCGGAAGATTACTGAAGGATTACATCAATGTGTATAGCAGGCTCATATGCTGCTTGAGCATTGACGAAAATGAAGATTAAAATAAGATTTGCTCATCCTGTAGCATGTATCGTATATATTATCATTAGGAGAAAAGAAGTTATTTATTGAAGATATATCTGATAATACAAACTAGGTTGTTTCAGTATAAAGATGGTAAACTAATCTAATATATTGTTCTCAAATTAAACCTTTCTGCAATGATAAAATTTTAGAGCGCTCGTATTAGTTCTAAAATTATGATGGTTTCGATTTATTAATTTATTTAGCATTTTTTGAAAAATAAATTATTTTAACACCTGGCAATATACTACACATTTATGATAGTTAGATTTTGTGAGTTCTACATTTTAGCCTCTCATGGAGCCGCACTGATAAAATTTTTTGTCTGCCCTGTTATTATTCCCTCGTTACAAATAATATTTTTATCTCTACTAAAACAAAAAAATGCGCTAGATAGTACATTCACAAACCTATTCCAATCATTCCAATATCTAAAAAGGTCTAAGTCTTGTCTGTCATGCCGCTTTTTTCGTTGCTAAGAAACTCTGAGAAAGAAGTCTAGTTCCAAATGTCCTCAGTTGCTTTAAAAACGTACTCATTGGCTTCTGAGCTTTGAGTCTCAATGCTCTAAAGGGAGAAAAGCTGCAAGACCTCGACATAACACTTATATTCATTATATTTTGCTTCGAAAAACACAATGCGAATTCCACAAAA